TTCAATATCGTCACTGCATCAACAACCATATTTCCTTTATTTTATTGTTTCTTTGTTTGTTGTAGTGTTACTTTCTATTATTTTATTTATATAACTCAAGTTGTATTTTTACTTTCTTTACTCGATAGAAGTGTTCCTCTTTACTTGATTGATTCAATCGACTCAATTCAATTAACATAATCAATTGATGTCGAGTCAGCCAATGCGGAAGCCCTCCGTAACATGTATACCACTTAGCCCATGTTTGATAGTCATTATTTGGTCAAAACAATGTTTTGAATAGCAATTTTCAGGAGTATATATGGTTAAAAAGTAGAGCAAAATTTTAGATTTATGTACAGAATAAAGGAGACTGTGTACAAATAGTAAAGGAGACTATCTTATCACAAAGCGCCATCATACACAGAAGGGATTTATGGCTCAACACCTTAGCAATAGTGCTTGCCTGACTAGCACTCATTTGGTCTAGGAAAGACTGCTTCCCCCTCGGTGGCAATGGGAAAGGAGGGAGGAAGAAAAAGAAAACAATAAAACTATAAATCTCAAATAAAAATCCCCCACTTTCGAATATTTTGCATTCCAGCAAACATTTCTATAAAAAATTATGTTTTAGTTGATCTAAAAATGGTCATTAACAAATATGTTGTAATACGAAGATAAATATACGACACAATATAAAGTAAACATAGCGATGTCAATGAACCGAGTCGAGCCAATCTCGAGCCCAAAAAAAAGCTCGGGCCGAGCCCGACCAAAAAAATGAGGCTCGGCCCGAACCTGTTCGAATTTTTTTATTTTTTTTCTTAGCTGCCTGAGCAACAGGCAGATAGATGCCTGCTTGCTGCCTGCAGCTAGAGGTGTCAAGACGGACGGGCCGATCAGACCCGTGAAAATCGGGACCAAGGCCGACCCGTGACCCTGCGAGGGTTCACGGGCCAAGGAGGTGTAACCCGCGGGTTTCGCAGGTTGCACCCCTATGGGCCGCGGTTAACCCGCACCCCGTAAAAAAAAATTGAAAAAAAAAAAGGGGGAAGAGAGCCGTTCATTTACTACTTCAACTTCAACTGCAAATCCATATACAACACCTGCTCAATTAGAAATATATTATCAATTTGATCATTATAGTTTAATACCTAAAGATGAAGTGGAAAAGTTAGATATTTTACGATGGTGGAAATTAAATGAGCGGTCATACCCTGTATTATCTAAAATGGCATGAGATATACTAAGAGTTCCAGTCTCAACAGTG